TCTCACTGCCAGGAAATTTCTCCTCAGTTCTAACTTGCTTCTTCTCTCCATGATTAGTTTCCACCCATTGCTTCTTGTTCTACCCTCAGGCGCTTTGGAGAATAGCTTGACTCCCTCTTCTTTGTGGCAACCCCTGAGATATTGGAAGACTGCTATTGTGTCTCCCCTGGTCCTTCTTTTCATTGAACTACACATATCCAGTTCCTGCAATTGTTCTTCATATGTTTTAGTCTCCAGTGTCCCCTAATCCTCTTTGTTGCTCTTCTCTGTCCTCTTTCTAGAGTCTCTGCATCTTTTCTACATCGTGGCGACCAAAACTGAATGCCGTATTCCAAGTGTGGCCTTACCAAGGCCTTGTAAAGTGGTATTAACCCTTCACGTGATCTTGATTCTATGATCATAGGGATATCGCAAATGTCATAAGTGCAAGGACTGGTTGTAAGATTTTTTAAAGCACCATTGTAACATTGAACGTTCACTCAACAAATGGTTATAAGTTGAGGACTGTATCCTTCATTTCTGTTCCAGCAATGAAACTGATGAAAAATAGATTGTTGTCATTTGGCCAGGGAATTTTCTTCTGATAAAAAGGCATAGTTTACCAAGAGGAGCTCAGCCCAGCTCTGCTCTGAAAACATAGTGGGGAAAAATCAGCTCCATTTGCCTTTGGTCAATATTATCTTTAACAAAAGACCTTTTCCTTTGTTAGCAATAAATGCACCTGACTTCCTCTTTTTAGCAGAAAGCAGCTACAGACCTCAGCTGGTGCTGGATTAAACAGCCGTCTTCCAATATTGGAGGGGCTGCCACAAAGAAGAGGGAGTCAAGCTATTCTCCAAAGCACCTGAAGGCAGGACAAGAAGCAACGGGTGGAAACTAATCGAGGAGAGAAGCAATCTGGAATTAAAAAGATATTTCCTGACAGTTAGAACAATTAACCAGTGGAACAGAAGTTGCCTCCAGAAGTTGTGAATGCTCCAACACTGGGAGTTTTTAAGAAGTTGTTGGACAACCATTTGTCTGAAGTGGTGTAGGGTTTCCTGCCTAAGCAGGGGGTTGGACTAGAAGACCTCCAAGGTCCCTTCCAACTCTTGTTATTCTTTTAAATCAAGTGCAGGTGTTCTGATACCTTCCATATTTCCCAGCCACTGCTTACAACTTTCATTAATTTTGGGATCTCAATGCCGTTGGGGCGTGTCTGGTTGGGGAAAACTAATTCAGGAAAATCGCAAAGGTAAACTCAAGGCTTTCCTTATGAGGCTGTTTTGCCTCTCAAGTGTTAATACGATGTGTAAGAGAGAAACAGCTACATCAAAAAAGGCTGATTCTAGATCTCCTAGAATTGCAGTTCTGCACCTAGTCTATTTTCTGTGGTTAGAAGACTCAAGAAACCTCACCTCTAATATTCCGTAAATCAACTAAGGAGGGGGGAAAAATCGAACGAAGAAACATTCCTTTGCCTTTACATCAGAGATTTAAAAAAAAAAAATCTTGCGGGAACCTAAAACTTTAAATCAAATTGAGCTCCTGCCACAAGTCGAGTGAGTCATTCACAAGGAATGGCACAAGAGATAATTACTCAGTAGGTGAAAGTCAGAGCAATTTTTACTGTATTCACCAGCAAAAAGTCAAATGTAGATTGTGTCCATATCTAATGCTGGGTTGGAAAAGCACCCGAGCTCAAACCTTGAAAATAATATTCCTCAAATGCAAAAGGAAGGAAGGAAGGAGGGAGGGAGGGAAGGAAAGAAGGAAGGAAGGAGGAAGACTGACAGGAAGGAAGGAGAAAGACAGACAGACAAGAAAGAAAAGGAGAGAGAAAGAAAAAGAGAGAAGGATGGAGTGGGGGGAGAGAAAGAAATACAGAAAGAGAAAAAAGAACAAAAGAAAGGCCAACAGATAGAAAGAAAGAAGACAGGAAGAAAGGAAGAAGAAAGACAGAAAGAGACAGAAAGGAAGACAAACAGAAAGAAAGAAAGAGTGAGAGAGAGAAATGAAGAAAGGAAGGAAGACAGATAGATAGACTGGAAAGAAAGAAAGACCGATAAGAAAGAGAAAGAAAGAGAGAGAGAGAAGGAGGGAGGGAGGAAGAAAGTGAAAGACAGGAAGAAAGGAAGAAGAAAGACAGACAGAAAGAAAAAATTAAAGAAAGACAAACAGAAAAGAAAGAAAGAGGGAAAGGAAGGAAGGAAGACAGATAGGAAGGAAGGGAGAAGAAAGACAGACAAGAAAGAAAGAAGGAAGGAAGGAAGGAAGGAAAGAAGGAAAGAAAGAAGGGAGGGAGGGAGAGAAAGAAAGACAGTAGGAAAGAGAAAAAAAGAAAACATACAGACAGATAGAAAGAAAGACAGGAAGAAAAAAGAAAGACAGACAGAAAAAGAAAGAAAGAAAAGAAAGAAAGAGGAAGAGAGAGAAAGAAAGGAAGAAAGAGAAAGAAAGAAACAAAGATATTTAATTTAGGTTTTCATATCATGATTAAATGAAACATACTCAGTTAATCCATCTGTCTGCGTTTGACCATAGGCTGAAGCCTCAGTGGTGTTCGCTTCATATAAACAACAGCTAATCCCAAAACCAGTCAACCTAATTTTAGTTTTATCTCACTGTGCAAATGCTTTGAAAGGCAATTCTTCACCCGCTATTTTGCCTCCTTCAAGCAAAAAAACATTTACAAAATTAAAGGAACACCAATCCTTAAACGAAGAGACCGCTATCGATTTGCATCCCCAATTCCAGCCTGATAAATAAGAACATGATCTCCAGAAAACATGCCAATCCTAAACTCAACAGGAAAAAGCCCAATTTTAAATAATCTGCATTTGTCCCCTTTTCAATTGCCTGGACAGTCAAACACACCCACCACACCTTTGGGGGGGGGAGAGTCTGTTCAAAACCCCTAATTCCTAAGCTGAGCTACTTTAAGAGATATAGAAAAGAATTCAAATTCCTCCTACGCAATCCGGGCACGCAGCAAAATCCGATCAATCAATACATCAAGAGAATCACAGCCAATTAAGGTTGGTTGGCTTCTTTCCCTTCCTTCTCAAAAACGATCTAGGAAATTTAGCTTACTTTACAGTCCAGATTATTCTGGGTTTCTGGAATTTCCTGCCCACCTGCTTCCAAACCACTCTGCAAACTGCCTTTTTTGAGTTTGAGGCTGACAGCAGCTGTCGTGTAATCTCTAGCAAAAAAAAAAGGGGGCATGTCCAGAGGTGGTTGCTAACGTGGAAACCTCCCTTAACCGGCTACGCCCAGATTTGCCAATGCAAACTCACTGGAGAGTTAGATGAAGCAGCTGGAATTGGCTTGCCGTTGCTGGATTTATTGCTTGCAGCAAGGGGAAAAGATCAGGATACGGCTTCTCGTGTGAGCACCTCGTCGGTCTCTTGAAAACCTCCAGGCTGGTCCAAACTGGGCCAGAGGTTCTGATCCACAGGTAGTCCTCGACCTTACAACCACCCTTGAGACCCCAAAACTTCCGTTGCTGAGCGAGACAGTTGCTAAGTGAGGTTTGCTCCAACTTATGGCCATGGCTGTTAAGCGAATCCCTGCAGTTGTTGTAGTAACACGGTTGTGGGGTGAGTCTTGGCTCGACCGTCGACTGCTTGTGAGAAGTTCGCAAAAGGGGGGGGAGACACGTGCGCCCCCCCCCCCCCGGGACGCAGCTGTGGTTGTAAATCGAAACCAGTTGTTAAACCTCTGGATTTTGATCACGTGACCTGCAAATGGTTGTAAGAAAGGGAAACAGTCATAAGTCACTTTTTTTTCAGTGTTGTAATGGCTAAGACACTGAGCTTGTCGATCAGGAAGGTCAACAGTTCGGCGGTTCGAATCCCTAGTGCTGCATAACGGAGTGAGCTCCCGTGACTTGTCCCAGCTTCTGCTATCCTAGCAGTTCGAAAGCAGGTAAAAATGCAAGTAGAAAAATAGGGATCACCTTTGGTGGGAAGGGAACAGCGTTCTGTGCTCCTTCAGCATTGAGTTATGTCAGCCACATGACGACGGAGACGTCTTCGGACAGTGCTGGCTCTTTGGCTTTGAAACGGAGATGAGCACCGCCCCCTAGAGTCGGGAACGACTAGCACACATGTGTGAGGGGAACCTTTACCTTTAACTGTTAATGAATGTTTGAAAGTCGAGGTTGTTTCTTCCCTATGCATCATATTGAGAGACAAAACAGCCGTATAAAGAAATATCTAGATCAGGGTTGTCTCCCCTTGACAATTTAAAGTCCCGTGGACTCCAACTCCCAGAATCCCAGCATGGCTGCCTGGGGAATTCTGGGAATTGAAGTCCACAAATCTTAAAAGTTACAATTGTTGGGCATCCCTGATCTAGAGCTGCATATCACAGCACTTGGTATGTTCAGAATTTTTCATTTATTCATTTCTCATATGGTACAAGTACATGGGTGTAGGTTTTAATGGTGTACTTTACCTTTTTAAATTATTTTTTAAATGTATACCCTTCCTCTAGTATTTGAGGAGCTGCCACAAAGAAGAGGGGGTCAAATTATTCTCCAAAGCACCTGAGGGCGCGACAAGAAATAATGGATGGAAACTAAAGAGACAAGCAACCTGGAATTAAGGAGAAACTTCCTAACAGAGAGGACAATTAACCAGTGGAACTGCTTGCCACCAGAAATCGTGGGTGATCCATCACTGGAGGTCTTTAAGAAGAGACTACTAGACAGTCACTTATCTGAAATAGTATAGGTTCTCCTGCTTGAACAGGGGGCTGGACTAGAAGACCTCCAAGGTCCCACCCTCCTTCATTCTATTCTAACATCTTTATTATTTTTATAAACAATTAATGCAATAAAGCATACCTAATACTGCTTTCTCCTCTTATTTTCCTTGGTGGGAGTAAGGCAGAAGTAGCAAAAAGAGAGATACTATATCTACAATGCCAATTTTCAGGAAAAAGAACAAGTCCTCGACTTAACTAAAGTTCATTTAGTGACCATTCAAAGTTACTATGGCACTGAAAAAAAAAAAGGTGACTTTTGACCATTTTTCACACATATGTGTCCGTTGAAGCATTCCCAGGCTAACGTGGTTTACATTCGGATGTTTTGACGACTGATTCGTATTTATGACGGTTGCAGGGTCCCTGGGTCACGTGGTCCCCTTTTGCAACCTTCTAACAACTCCGCGGGAAGCCAGATTCACTTAACAACCGTGTTCCTAACTTAACAACTGCAATGATTCACTTAACAACTGTGACAAGAAAAGTCGTAAAGTGGGACAAAACTCGCTGTACACATTTCTCGCTTAGCAACAAAAAATTTTGGGTCCTATTGTGTCGAGGGCTACCTGTATTTCTTCCTGTAAATGGGTGTAACGGAGAAAAATATTTATTCATGATGCGCAGATGTCCCCAATGTCAAAACAGACAGACGCCAGAAAGAAATTTTGTGTTGACACACCGCCAGATTTCTAGTCCAGTACTTTCATTGCTATTTTATTTTTTTTTTAAAAGAATTCTCCCTCCCTCCCCATCTCTCTCCTTCTCCAAATCTAATCCTTCTCTCCACGGAGGTCTCCAACTCCTGGCTCCTGACACATTATAATTTAGCTTCTTGAAGGATATTTTAAGACTGTAATTGAGAGGTTGAGGTTTTAGAGTTGGGCAAGGCACACAATCTCCCTCCTTCCCTCCTTTCTTCTCCTTCTCTTCCCTTTTTCACCTCTTCCCCCCCATCTCTTCTGTCTCTACCAGTCTATTGATGGGGAAAAGCCAATATTTCTCTAGTTTATTTATGTATACGATTTAGAGTCTCCCCCCCCCCACCCCAGGTGGCACACAGTAATAAAAAGGCATAAAACAGGGAATCAATTTTTTAAAATTTTGTTTCCAAAATGTCTGATTTATTGTTTTTAGTTCATTTATTTATTATAATTATATGCTGATCATTCATTCTGGGCAGGCTAAGATTCTGGTTCCAGGAGATTGCTTGGAGGTTTTTCAGAAGTGGTTTGGCATTGCTTCCTTCCGAGGGCTGAGAGGAAGTGACTGGTCCAAGGTCACCCAGCAGCCTTTCATGCCTAAATAATGACTAGAACTCACCATCTCCTGGTGATTGTCCCCAAATCATCCAGTTGCTTTTCATGCCTAAGATGATACTAGAACTCACCATCTCCTGGTGATTGTCCCCAAATCATCCAGTTGCTTTTCATGCCTAAGATGATACTAGAACTCACCATCTCCTGGTGATTGTCCCCAAATCATCCAGTTGTTTTTCATGCCTAATATGATACTAGAACTCACCATCTCCTGGTGATTGTCCCAAAATCATCCAGTCAGTTTACATGCCTAAAGCATGACTAGAACTCTCCATTTCCTGGTGATTGTCCCAAAATCATCCAGCCGGCTTTCGTGCTTAAGGCTGGACTAGAACTCACTGTCTCCTGGTGATTGTCCCAAAATCATCCAGTCAGTTTACATGCCTAAAGCATGACTAGAACTCTCCATTTCCTGGTGATTGTCCCAAAATCACCCAGCTGACTTTCATGCCTACGATGGTACTAGAACTCACCGTCTCCAAGTTTCTAGTCTGATATCCTAACCACTACATCAAAGTGGCTCCTAGTGCCTGCGTGGGAGTCTGTCTACAAAGAACAGGAGCTCAGGACCTTCCGTGACCCTGACTTTGATGGAACCACAGAGTTTTCAAAAACATCTTAAGCGTGATCAAAGGTGGGAGCCCATGAATCTTGGTGGAGATGCTGTTCCTTCTTCTTGTGACCAGGAAGAGATCCTTTTTAGCTTCCAATAGATGAGATTTTTTTTTTTTAATCAAAGGGCTTCGGAGTGGACCCAGCCTGATCATGCATAAAGAGCCAGAGAGATCTTGCTTAAAATTAGGTAAAGCTAAAGGTTCCCCTCGCACATATGTGCTAGTCATTCCCGACTCTAGGGGGCGGTGCTCATCTCTGTTTCAAAGCCGAAGAGCCAGCGCTGCCCAAAGACATCTCTGTGGTCATGTGGCCGGCATGATTCAACGCCGAAGGTGCACAGAACGCTCTTGCTTTCCTACCAAAGGTGGGTTCCTATTTTTCTACTTGCATTTTTTACGTGCTTTCGAACTGCTAGGTTGGCAGAAGCTGGGACAAGGAACAGGAGCTCACTCCGTTACGCGGCGCTAGGGATTCAAACTGCCGAACTGCCCACCTTTCTGATCTGCTTAATATTACCTATCAACCATTGCCCCCAACTTGAGGGCTTCCAGAGAGGCGAGAGCACTTCTGGTGAATAACACTTGCTCTGTCCTATTGCTACCTTGGTATCTCCTTCAGAAGTTCAGGTAGTCCTTGATTTACGACTGGTTGCATTGCAACCCTTCAGATTTTTAACAGACCAACTACAAAGATGATTAAAGGACCGGGGGCTAAAACACCCAGTTGCAGGAACTGAGCATGTCTAGTTTAATGAAAAGAAACACTGGGTGTGTGTGTGTGTGTTTGTGTGACATGATAGCAGTCTTGCAATACTTCAGGGGCTGCCCCAAAGAAGAGGGAGCCAAGCTATTCTCCAAGGCACCTGAGGGCAGAACAAGAAGCAATGGGTGGAAACTAATCAAGGAGAGAAGCAATTTAGAACCGAGGAGAAAGTTCCTGGCAGGCAGAACAATTAACCAGTGGAAGGTTATTTTTTGGCCTTCAGAAGTTCTAGGTCAGTGTTTCTCAACCTTAGCAACTTGAAGATGTCTGGACTTCAACTCCCAGAATGCTGGCTGGGGAATTCTGGGAGTTGAAGTCCAGGACTTAAAGTCGCCAAGGTTGAGAAACACTGTCCTAACAAGTTAGATTTAATACTATATCTTAATGCTTCCAATCTTGCTCCCCCAATGTGGAGCATGGATCTCATTTCCTAGTATTCTCAACAAGGGGGATCTGAAGAGATGAAGTTCACACATATATAAGATGCCAGCCTTGGAGAAAGCTAGGCCACAGGTTGTGCCCCCCCCCATTTGTCTTAAATGTCTCCTTTCCTCAGCCCTCTGCTGATTTCTCCAGATCCGTGTACTGTTTATTCGTCCTCCAATTTGTTTCTTTTCATAGTTCAAGGTCTGGCTTTGACCGTGAAAGTCCTAAACCAAGGTCTCCCAAAGTGGTCAATATCAACCCCCCCCCCCCAAGATGGATGGGTCCACCCAGAGCAT